TGTATATTTTGAGTCTCATTTGAATTTGTGATTACTATAATCATACTGTTTACACATCAGCTTCGAAAATAATCTTATTCATGGGTCCAGGCCCCATCATATTGTGTAGTCGAACATGTTATCATGGCTAAATTAGGGGCCTTACCATACAGCCTTGAATTCACAAGTTCAATGAGGCCCCTAGATGAGCCACGATACCATGTCCTAACACATGAAATGAAGGGTCACGGACAGGATATGTGTGCTTCCGTGTTAATTTTTTTTCTGTCACAGCATTGTTTTTCTTAAAAAACTATTTTTTTGTTAGTTCTGCGACATATTATGTTTTTCTTATCGCAGTGCAAAAATACTTATGACGAGTGTACAAGTCACATTAAAAATGTATTTTATAATAATGTTATACAGTATCACTGTATGTGAACTTATAATTATGTGAAGGGTAAACCTATGAAGTGGAACACCTGCTGAAGTGGAACATCTTTTCTCATTCACTAATGTAAAATGGACCTCTGTAAGTGGAACACCTCCCAAGTGGAATACTATTTAGGTACTAAAAGTATTCCACTTATATAGGTTTTATACTGAATATGTAATTTGATTGGTCATAATTTGTGTTCTTGCATCAAGGAATTATCTCTCAACTTAAAGCTGAAAAATAGAATATGTAAACTTGTCGATTGTTGAAATATGTAAACTTGTCGATTGTTGAAAGATCAGATGAAAGATAACATATCATATCAGATTCCTGGAAGTATCATGGTATTCTCTGGTGTTATTCACTTGGATATCATGATATTCCCTGATGTTATTCACCTTGATATCATGATATTCCCTGATGTTATTCACCTGGAAGTATCATGATATTCCCTGATGTTATTCACCTTGATATCATGATATTCCCTGATGTTATTCACCTGGAAGTATCATGATATTCATTGATGTTATTCACCTGGAAATATCATGATATAAGTTTACTGTTGAAATATGTTATCTAATTAGAGACTCTGCATATTGCACAAGGGGATGTGAATTTGTTGTATCCTAGCATCTATACCCTGAAATTCTCCATACGCCACTAGTGACAGATCCACATATGAATTGTTCTCAGATTGACCAAATAATTAAACAATTGACTTGTGGATCCATAACTTTACCATATTTTGAGAAAAGGACCATTAATTGAAAACAAGGGCTTAATGCAAAACTTACTCATAGATATATAGAGAATTATTATATTTGTATGATATTCGAGATTATTAACCAAGATGATTTAATTTTTTGGTGTTATCTGTATGTAACTTTGGGAAATACATTTTTATTACAGTTATAAAGTATTTACTTTTATGTTGTGTGTTTTTGAATTAATGCTTTTAAATGATTGAAAACGAATTTGGTATTACGTGAAAAAATGCGTTGCTAATAGTGATATACAGAGGTTATTTAATGGGAGGAATGGAATATGAATTTTATTCCGAGGAAAAATATGATATCAGTAGAGGAAAATATATTGACCGAGGGCGACACTGCTGAGTGTCAATATGATATGTACCGAGGTTACAGGTACAGCGTACAGCTTCTCTTAAAACGTGTATCTTGACCTCCCTATTATCTGGGAAAGTTGTCCGAAACTGAATCAAAGGCAAATGAGGATCCTATGAGAGATCGTATTTAGATGGAATCATGATATCTCAACTCATTGCTTGAATTATTTTATGCTTTGGACAATATACAGATTCAAAAAAGATTCAACCTACATGTTTAAATTGATCAGTTCCTCTTAAAATATACCACTTTATCCTATGCCAAGTAGCGTTTAGGGAGATAAGTTGGTAAGATATTTCCCATATCCTGATGTTGAGGTTTCCATATCCAGAACCTCCATATCTCCCGCTCCAGGGCATATCTTCCTGCTTTGAAAAAAAAGTTTAAAAATAATTTGAATTTCTTTAGAAAACTGCACTGGGTATAGGATACAGCAGTTATGTACGGTCAGTTTGGAAATGAGGTTTATCCCTCGTGAGATATGCACATCTACATTCGGTCCATCAGGTAGATATGCATAATATATCCCTCTACATAACCCTTATGTATTTTTGAGTCACCCAGTATTCACATTTATGTTTAAAATGACATAGTAAACAAGAGAATAGTTAATTAGGTTTTCTTCAATTTATTCTCATTTTCATACAAAACTGTAACCAATGTACGTGATGCACGTACACAGTGGGCTAAGGTAGTTTTACATAAGCCATTATTTCTAATAATACGTTTCATAGAGTGCACATATTAAGACAGTGTACTCAATACAGACACATACACAATGTTATCAAATCCGACAAATACATAATGCTCTGAGGGGTGCATTCGAAGATATAATGTACTGAAAAGTGACAAATAAATAGTGTTTTGAGAGGCATTTGAATACAAAATGTATTGAAATGCGACAACTACACAATATTTGTGTAAAATGTGACAAATACACAATTTCCTGGAAGGCAGATAAATACACAACTCAGTTGAGATAAACACGTGTTTTCTGAAGCGTACAATGATACACTGAACGAAATGCAACCGATACACAATTTAAGCAGTAGATGCATTATGATACACTTTAAATAATACACCCAATATACAATTTGAGCACCACGTGCAGGCCCGTAGCCAGGATTTGCCAAGGGGGGGGGGGTTCAGTTTTTAAAAATTTCCAGGGGGGTTCACATTTGACAATTTTGGCCCAAATATGGCTAAAATCACAAGAGAAGTGCTCAAAATGGTGAAAAACTGCATGATTTTGAAAGAATTTTTGGCCAGGGGGGGGGGGGTTCGCCCGAACCCTGCGAACCCCCCTTGCTACGGGCCTGACGTGCACAAAAATGTACAATATTTTTTAGATCTGTACACATAAATATACAATACATGAAGTGACTCCCTCAAGTAAAACATTTTGCAATATTTGAATTGTACATATTTTCTTCTGCATACCAAAGACTAGCTTCAATCTGAATCCATAAGATTTGATATACTACGCTTTGACAAAACTTGATTTTGACGTAAAAAGCCAATTTGATCAACAAACTATCTGAATTGTGTATTTTCAAAAATATGCTATACATTGGATAATTTACTTACACTAGCATTTTTCTATGAATTCAGAATAGTTCTACATTCATCATTTACGATATATAAACGTGATTGAGAAGGTTGCTCATCTAAAAATATTGTGAAGAACTAATTGAGAAATTCAATTTTCTATATCAGAATAGCAAGACATTTTGTAAAAATCGTTCATTTTATTTACAGAAAATTGCCAACAAAGCATAAATGAAAGTTTACTTCATCTACAATCAAATTTTGTAAGTCTAGATTTTGACAAAAATAAGACATCAACAAACATTCCAAAATCTTCGAAGCAGGGTTTGTATTTTTCCATAAGAAAACGCACATGCTCAACCAGTTGCTTACAGTATTTCTGTAAAAACCTAGATTGGACAAGTCGATCTGATTGAAGTGCATACGAGTGTACATGTCAGAACTACAGTAAAATACCGAACGTTTTATAACGAACGCCTCTCAGTATGAGCATAATCAAACAGTTTCATCGGTGTTCGATTTAAACATATTTTAACTCAATTCAGTTTTATCAAATTAAGGTAGGTCACGCATGACACATTTGTACAGTGAATTGATTGTCGCCAACATTGCATACCATTTTAAAAATATTCAAAATTACAACAAGCATGACATTTAGTAAGACACTTATATCATTTACTTACAATTAACAATAATATAAAATAGTTATGCAAGGTGTAAAATCTCTTGAAGTAATGATCAATTGTATTGTATTGTATCTTTATTTCCTCCTTATAAGAAGATTTACAAATTTATAGAACAAAAACAACTTTAAAATTTACATATTACAAAGTAGTTCTGCAATTATCGCAGCGTTTCATAGTAAGTATCTATTTACACCTATTCATATAAAACATATATACGCGCATTGAATTAGCATGATTTAAAGAAAATGTCTATGTGTGCTAAGCCCCTTGCACAGGAAAGAATGAACTCGGTAAATTGAGTATCATCGAGTTGAAAGTCAACTCTGCTGCCAAGTATTGTTTCTAAGACTATATTTTCCTCCATGTCGAGTAATTTGACACAATTCTCTACGGACAGGGAGTTGAAAATATAGTTTTCAATGAAATCATTCTTTTCATTTATAAGTTCACCACATTTCATGAAATGTGTGACTATCGAGCCAGTAAAATCTTTGCAACGTTTACATTGATATAACCTAAATCTTGCAGGTGTGGTCAAATACAGTATGTGGGCTAATTCCCAAAGTTGCTCGGTAGCCTTTTGACCAAGTGTCCATAAAACCGAAGGTTCTATTGACAATTGTACATTCGAAAATAATGATAATGAATCATCCGCATTTACTCGGGCACGCCATTTTGTTTCTTCATTTAATTTTATTTGATTAGTACACATCATTTTAAATTTTACTTTGGTCATAAGTTGGCCAGATCTGAGAAAGTCTTGAATTGACTCCTGTACATAGCCATACTCCATTGACATGACGTCTTTAATAAGACCATTACAGATTTCATTTTTCTGAACTAAAAATGAGGAGAGTCTATATAGAAACAATTGTTTTGTGAAAACATGAGTGGCTCTGCATAGTCTATCAAAAAACAACAGCTTTGCTCTGTCTATATAACTCTCAATTGACAGTAAACCGAGCGTAGAGAGGACAACTTCCGATGAGACGTTTTGCTCAAATCCTTGTATTATTTTTGCAATTTTTCGAATGGTAACGTTAAGTGCGTGTAGTTCTACATTGGATGTTGTCCATAACTCGCAGCCGAACATGGCAGCGGGAAACACAATTGTTTTTAATAGCTTAACGGCAACAAGGGGGTTATTGAGTATTTTATTCAAAATTAAATACAATATTGAACAAAACACTCAATCGGCCGGGCGCCGGCCATTGGTTTGGAGCAAATGTGACCCAGGCATTAGAGAGAATGGTGGAAGGAGCATGTCTCGACCACGATCCAAGATATAACATATACTGCCGGGAATACGAGTTCTTAACTAGGCTTTTAAATTGAGGTGTTACACCCTAAACCTCGAACATGACAAGAGATGATACAGTGATCGTATTCCGACATCTTAATTCAAAAGGCTTCAGTTGCTCCAACCTCACCCGAGGAGTCGAATGTGCTATTCCGATGAGTAATGGAAACCATTATTTCTTGAGTATCGAAACTCAAGTCACACAGATGTACGACAAACTAATAAACGTACAATAAAATATATCACAATTACAAATTTGCCATTCACCTCTCAATTATTAATGACTATTTAAATTTACTTTTTGTTTTTGTAGACTTCGATAATTTCAAAAACGTCAATGAAATATTATATTATTGTTCTATCTAATTGTTTCACAATAATGTATTATTCAAACATTTACAAAATCTTGGCAAATTGTTAAAAAGCATCCATAGAAATCAGATCAGTTATAGAAATAACAACATTATATATACATAATATATTAATTATATAAGCTTGTAACGACAAAACTGTACAAAATTTACAATCAGAAAGCTGTAGATGTATCTACATACGGGTTCTAAAAATGACTTCCGTTTAGCCTCGTTTTTAACGTTGTAGCGTAGCTAAAATCGAACGGTAGATCTGTGTTCGCTACACATGCGTTCCTTCTTTATATTTTCTGTCTTTTATGTTATACATTTCATCACGTTTTGTTCGTCGTTTTTGTTTATCATTGGAAAGTTTATAAATTGTAAATATAAGAACAAGTACGAGAATTAAAAAGAGGGCACCACCTCCTATGGCGGCAATTAGCACCCAAGTTTCAACCATGACTTCTCCGTCATCGTTATTATTAGAGTTTGTATTTTGACTTGGCGAGCCCTCATTTTGTAGGTCCATATTTAAAACTGTATTATTTTCGTTAGGGCATCTTTGTTCATCAATTCTCGTCAAAGCTGAAATTGAAATAAACATTATTTAATGCAATTCATGATTCCAATATAAGCTGCTGGCTCAAACTGACATATATTTTGTACATAGAATCCAACTATCAAACCTAATAGTTTTATGTTTTTTTTTTATTGATTCCTTATTTTGAAGGCCATATGTTTTCCAAAGGAAATTGGTCATCTAAACATTGAACGCACGTGATGCCTTAACCTGTCCACTCAAATCTCTGGTCCCTACCACTCTACCACTAAGGCATACTCTTATTTTAATTTATTCCCCAAAGTTAAAATGGTCCCTGTTTACTCACCTCCTACCGAGTGCCAGGGAATACCTGGATCCCACCCCTGATTGATGAGGGACGCTATGAACTGCGACGCCGTATGGACATCTCGAAAGCACCTCCTTTTGCAATTACTATTGTCTATTTGAAGATAAACTACGGATCTGTAAAAAGAAGTAAAGTTTTGTTAAGGAATGACTAGTATAAAGCAAACTCCTTGTTTTCATAATAAAGGTAGGACGTGTAGAATAAATGTGACTGTGTTTCTCATAAATAAAAACATACATGGGAACAATTAACACTCGTTCCTTCCATATCGTAGAACCTCATAGTAAAATATTAAACTATTGTTTTATAGATGGCATAGCGGTATATTGACAAGCATAACATTTTGAGCTGCCCTATTGATTGGTGTCGTTGTGCGAAAATTATGTACAATTAAGGAAGGTCATTCCATGTCGTTCAAATATACTCTCCCTAATAGTCAAAAATGTAAAGATTAAACGAGTAGTGTGTGAATGTTGATAATACAGTAAAACTTATCTCAGTGAAAAATCATTCGTACCTCAAAATGGTATTTAACTTTGGAGCTGTTTGAACTGCAGCGGGACTGTGGAAAAAGTGTTCCACTTATCGAAGTAATCAATTTAAGAAGTGCTTCACTTCACAACTTTCACAGTAATAACTAGAAATGAAATAAGAAATCAGACTTTGATCAGTCGTGGCTTACCCTCGTGATTCTCTTGTATACTCATCGGGATCTTCATAATACATTGATACATTCCTTAGAACATTGTCAACCCTCCACGGGTATATCTCCTGTTCCCCCTTACTGTTTAATATCACTCGTAGCACTGTCCTGAGTGATTGCGAGATCAAACGCATATATTTTTTAATATGTCTTTTGATTGTTTTTGGTCTCTGATAGAATACAATCGCTAAGGCACCATCGGCGATAGATCGGCGCCCTCGGCCGCAATCGCCGCCATCCCACGCGCATGCGCTGTTGTCGCAGTTATTGTCGCAAGTGCCGTCGCCAAAATGCTGTTTACAGTAGTCTTCGAATTTACAAGGGACTGCAATATCCACACAGTCGAACCCGTCGTAGAGTCCGTTCTCGCTGTCGCATTCTAAGTTGCAGATATCGTCTTTGAAAGACTCTCGGCAGAAACTCGCTGTTTCTTTTGGCATACAGTGGACTGGAATAGAATAAAATAGTATTGTGTAATCGTTCTTTCTTTTGGCATATAGTAAACTCAAATGGAATAAATTATCATTGTATAATCGGAATATGAATTAAAGAATCTGTTCAAATTGAATTCCACAGGTTGAACAGTTTCATTAAAGAACAGGACGTAATAACTTGCAATGGTATTTATAGAATCTAGACTACAATAATTCTCAAATGACAGTCGAGGTGAAAATGTGGAAACGAATATAATATCTACATGAATTCTATTGTAAGATGAGTCCCCCCTAAAACACATTTCTCTAGTAAGGTATTTCAAATACATTTAAAATATGTAAGTTTTGGAAATGAGTTTTACATATACACCTAACCATCCCCGATAAAATTATGGCGACGTTAATTGTGAGTCTTAGCTCTGAATTAATTAAGCTTGGCATCTAATTAATGGTACTTATAATATTTGTTATAAAATATATTCACAACCAATTTACGATATAAACGCACTGCGTTTTAGCTTGCAAATTGCATAGCCTTGAACTTGAAATACAAGGGATGCAAAATATGAAATTTGAATATTTTGAAAGGAATAATAAAGAATTGAACTACAAAGGCAAAATATGGAAAATGAATTGCCAATATTTCTCGACTCTACTTATTGAAATATATGTCATCAATTCAACACCCCGTCTCTGAAGATGATAGGGTAAAAACTAGCATATGTTCTAAAAATGAAATCACAATATGTTAACATCTTTTTTGCTCTAAATCAAACTGCATACTATCAACTTATCAGTAGTAAAACATTTCACATGTTACAATGCTACCAGTGGTGAACTTAGTATTAAACAATTTACAGATCACCAGAAAAGTAAGACTTTCCTTTTAACTAATACACTCGGAATTCTGGAATTCTCTGCGATTTCCAGTTCGATTGATTACCGAACTGGATTGATAAAAATAGGTTTAACGTACCATATTCCAATGTTTCATTTTGCCAAATTAATGAGCTGGTCTATCTCTAGATAAACTCTATATTGGCTTGAGATACAGGGTGGCAAAAAAACTGAAACCCTTTTTTCGAATATATTTTTCAAGCATGTTTTTATCCTTGTCTATAGCCTAGGAATGTCCAACGGTTAAAACAATTGCACGTTTATGCTGCCTACATTGAAAGTATAATTTCTCTCAAACGTTATGTCTTACATGCAATGTTAACTGTATGCTTCCTTAACACCCCATCCATTAAAAAAATCAAGGAGGTTCGATCATATCGAAAAACTTACTCTTGAATTAGATGGTTGCAATATCTGGGGTTCACCCTGTAGATGTAATCTATAATAAGGCAATCTGTTACAGAGTTAAATTGTGACTTAAACCGTGATTTTGATCATTCTTGGTGATTTATCTTCGAATTTTCCATTTCATTTATATGAGGTTGTTTTTCACTTAACTTTTCTGAGATAAGTATTAATAGCTAAAAGCCTCGACCCATAATAAATTCTCGACCCATAATAAATTCTCGACCCATAATAAATTCAAACCCAGTAAAGAACATTGATATTGATAAGTTTCCTCTCTATTGATAAGTTAAGTGATTTAGGAAAACTGCTCCAAGAGATTGCTTTATCTAATCTCAAATGGATACTTGTACAGGAATCGCTCTTTTTCAGTGATTGTCTCCGTGACTAATCGTTCGAAATATTTCAAGGGACTGCTCGGTGTTATCGCGAATGGATGCCGGTGTGAAAGAAATTATGGTCCCCCGGGGATTATGGTCCCCCTTTTAAAGGCCCTTACTGGCCCTGATTGTGTATAAGATAATAAGGGAAAGAGCACAAAGAGGTCACCATGTAAATCAATGGAGAGTAGGACCAAAATTTGATAGGACCACCTTCCCTTTTACACCGGTATGGTCGACGCCCCATCACCCAACCCAGTAAAATTATATTCCCTTATCATAATTTTCATTCCGTGACGTTTATAACTGGTTAAAAAATTACATTTCAAAAATAGATTATTTTACGTATTTCGGCGTATGTTGTTTTATTCCAAGCTAACTTTAGAGTAATATACTTATTTTTACCTCGTACTATTATATGCCAATAATAGGAAGTCTATATTTACAAAAAGTAAATTGATTTTATTCTGTGTAATAACCTATTTGTGTCAAAATATAAAAGGTTATCTTTATTTAGAAAAGGAAAATCTAATTTCGTGTACGAGTAGACAAATACATTAGTAGAGAATATTGCTCATTGCGTGTATCATCGGTAAAATAAATATACACTCCCCTCCATAAGTTTGTCTCTCATTCCTTTAAAATATACACTCCCCTCCATAAGTTTGGCAACTGGACGTTTTCCTTGTGTAGCATTTCAAAGCATGTTTATGTTTGAATCTCAATTTTGTTCCTTAATTACAATAGTTCGAAAATTATAACTTTGATTATTTCTTTAAATTGCTATAAACATAGACTGGCTTTGATATTTGATCTAAATTGGAATACGGTTGCCAAACTTATGGAGGGGAGTGTATATTTCAAAGGAATGAGAGACAAACTTATGGAGGGGAGTGTATATTTCAAAAGTATGAGAAAAATAAAGACTTACGTGTATCTGAATCAGGTTTATTGACACATATTTCTGCGGTATGGCGGACAGTTCGTGTCTGGCCGCTTCCCATACGGCAGGTTATCTCACAGATATAGCTACCTGCATCTTGAACCTTTATGTCTCGTACTCTGAAAGAATATTGAACCATTTTATGCCGTGGTCGCGTTTGGTCCGATTACCAGCGCCCGACCGATGAGTTTTTTTGTTCAAAATTGCATTCAGTTTAGAAAAAAATTCTCATCGGGTGGGCGGTGGTGTTAAAGATCGGACCAAATGTTACCACGACATATAATTACATAAAGGTTTAAGCAAAAAATAGGAACATGTTTGTCCATTTTATTTACAAAGTCATTCATTTTTATTATCACTATATGGCCTTTATTTGGATTGCACGGTGGTTGGTAAGATCACCCATTTGGCTAGGCCAATAAAGGTCTTAACTTAATTTCTTGACGTGTCATTTCGCGTCATTTAAAAAAGCGTTTTTGTCCACTTGATTTGAACATGTTGTTTACTCCATTGAATAGCATACCTTAGGATCGAAATGTGTTCCCCCGCTCTAAGACCCCAACCGGGTATATTCTGCCACGTGCCGTATTTCCGGCTATCCGTGATATTAAACGTTCCATCCCAACCGTCCTTAATCCACCTTATACTTTGATATAGGCAGGTCGTCCCGGTGGAAAACTCTTGGTAACGGCAAATTAAGTCCGTATTTGCATCTTTGTTTACTGGGAGCTGACATGGCTTGTTAGGTGTTGCTAAATGATACATTGCAGTTCGACCTGGAAATACATAATTAAATCATTTTAATTCAGGTTATAAATAAAAGAGGACCCAGACCTGAACCCTGATGTATCCCTGAAATGTTATGCAATGGATGGCTTTTTATACTGTTCATATTATATCTTAATGAGTATATTTTGAAACAAAAGTACACAATTATGCACACCAACATACAATTGCGCAGAATGATACACAGAGATACACACAAACAGTACACAATAATGCAAAATAACATACACAGATATCAGATATCATTTCCAATATAGTTTGAGTTTGCTCATTTAAAAGTGAACTTCATCTACACTTCTATCCCCGACTCTGACAGCTAATGGTACTTATTAATATCCGAAAAAACCCTAACAGGAAATGCCCCATCAAAATATTTGAGCATACCATTTGTTTCATGTAATTATATCCCAGAGATCTCAATTTGATAGAATGTACGTCTGTGTAAATTGCAACATTTTTGTTATTTTAAGCTGCTATAATCTGGAATAACAAATTTAGACGTCAATTCTAGTTAGTTTAACGTCTATGTTAAGAATTGGGCTAATGGAGGAACAGATCACTGGAACAGTTGTGGGGGTGAATATGAGAATTACCAGATGCCCTTTTGTTATGGAAGTAAAGTTCTTTTGAAGGTTCATGCCAATGCATTCAACTCAACACAGTATGTATACGTGCGGTGTTTTGGGGGTTTGAATTAAAGTGCTTGTATATGATGACTATGGTGTCTGGTACCCGGTAGCCTAAGGCCCGATATAAGTGTTTTCTGGGCCTATGTTAGCCCAGATACCCCCCCCCCCCCTATTTTGACCTACTACTGTTCATAGTTGTCTGTACATGTTTTATACATCTTTGTATTGTTAAATCGTACTTCAATAGATCAGATGAATAAATATCATGGGAAATTGAACTAAGAAAAGCCATGCTGGCAATCTAAAAAAATAAATAGTTCGACTTTGTACTAAGAATCATCCAATACATCACACTCTCATAAAAACGAACGTTACAATATTTGAACAAGGAACATTGGTCGATATTTTTACGTTCTGATTTTCCACCTGACATTCCTAGAGTGCAATATCAACAAATAATTTATCATTTCTCAGATGACGTCCAGCGGAATATAGTGGTAATTAGAAAAAGTCGTTGTTGCTACTTTTGGTATAAGGCCGTTTTCTTTTGGCAATGTTAATTTCTAAGTCAATCTATATTTTTAGTCAACGCGTAATTTTATTTTGTTCGTATTTTCATAGCAGTATGTTATCCTTAAAAATGTAATTCCACATCTTTGGTAGAGAGCCTTGATGGGTGACTCTTTCGACCTCATTGGCTTTATGGTAAACCTAACTGACAATTGCGTTTTTTTGCTTTAATCATTTGATGATTAAAAATGAAAATAAAACAACTGGGCAACCAGGCAGATTCTCCTAATTTAGTTTCGGAGATCTTCGTTACAAGTCGGTATCCATATAAGGACATGCGGTATATACATGTACATGTATCTTATCGTATATTATATTTGATAACTTCCACTTGGTGCGCAAAAATTGAGTCAATTATCACAGTTAAAAATATTATGAAAATATTTATCGAAAAATAAGTCTTACTTGACAACCCTGTTCTCATTTAAGTAATATGAATCACGTTATATACACCACCGTCCACAAGTATAGCAACCCGAGGAGCCATTAGACAGCGAGAGTTAATATCTCTTTATGCTCAAATCTTAATATTTTGTCTCTTTAAAAATTACTTTGAATTGGAAATGCATGTCTTTTATTTGATAAGTGTTGAAATCGCAAAATACGAACAAGTGTTGTCACGTGATTCGCAAGCCGGGGATTCCTGTTTGCTAAACTTTGGGGGGGGGGGTGTTAGTACAATATTCGAGTATGTCTTACTAAGTTCAGGAAACCAGTACAATTACGGCTAAAACTTTATAGATTTCTTATTGATTTACAAGATCAAACGATCCTAATAGCAATTGACTTGAGAGAATCTTTGTATGGATATAGATAGGATTTCTATACATAGAATTGTCATGCTTCGTCTAATTGCCAATTATACCGTAATGGACTCAAGCCAAGTTGACTTGAGGCCAATATAATTGGAGAGTAGCGATGCACCCGGCAACCGAAGATGTTGACATTACGAAGATGGCCGAAGAGCCAAACGTCGGTCATTTTCGGCCATCTTCGGCTATTTTCGGCAGCGGTCCAAAATCGTGACCCCGTCGCAATTATCCTGATTCTTGGAAACACGAAGTCCTAGCAATTGCGAAACACATATGTCTCGAATTCAATCAAAAAGATTGGATAGTAAATCAAACCAAAAAGTTTTTATCCATCCACCGGACATTAATCATTAGACAAATAAACTATTATAATTATTATAATTACGTAATGACTACATAAAAAATTTAGATTTTATAAGTTTATCATAGTTTTGAACTTTACATTGTGCCCCTAGGCTATTTATTACGGTTATCTCGGCAAATCGATCCAATATTAAGATTACGATTATCTGCGATGGCTTATTACATCTTGAAAATACAATACAGCTATCTTTGAAACAAGTCATGTTATTCGGGAAAAACATCAATCGAGCGGCCCAGGTGATCATGTTAGGTAGTATTTTTTACATCCGGGCAACTACATGACGTAATTAAGCAATCATGGGCATATTTTCATTGAATATACACAGAATACTATGTTATAGGGAAAAGTCGAATTTAGATGGTAAAATATATGATTCCAGTTCTAAAAACTACAAAAACAATTACAATTATGGGCCTATTATAGTTTTAATTGTTTTGATCTGGCGCCATACTACTAATTTAGACGTATAATCCACGGCAAATGAGTCACAGAGGATAGTATGGGTAAACTGATATGGCCAGAGGCTATCGTGAAACATGGTATAAATCAATGGCCATATAAAATAGACACAAAGAGGGAGATCAGAAGAATACCACCAATTATAATTCTGTATTTTATGGAGTGTGTAGTTCAACTTATAGGATAACAAAAAACACTGCATCGAATATGGGCGAGTCTTAAAAACAAAAAAAATAGATAGACAAAAAACAGATAGACTCATTAAAGGGTTGAATCCTGTTCAACATGAAGTAATAATAAAAATTGAAGTTTTACGAAATGCTCTTACAAAAGCTAGATTAATGAAGCCAAACTGAAAAAGATAATCTGTTTGGTTCATGGGTAACTCCGGATGCTCCGGATGGCCATGTTAGTCCACAGTAAATAATATAACATTTAAATGACTCAATGTTCCAATCCGTTTAAACATTTCCGATATCTTTTGAAGCAAATATATAGGACTCCCAAATCGGAAAAACCAGGCGTATTATCATTCACTTAATCTATGACATACTTGGATAAATGTCCCGTGTAAGCAATCACAACCATGAAAAATTCGGAGACATTTCGAATTGCTGCTTGTCTACATGGCAATACAACCAGTATCTGGTTATCTATCTCTACCAATCAGGAAAATTCAATAGGCTTTCCGTTTTTGCATTATGCATCTATCAATCCTGAGACAAAAAAGTCAGTTCGTTTAATTACTCGGTTAAGTGGGGGTATAGACTTTAAGAGGCATGTCGCCAAGCTCCAGTGTCCTCGTCTGGTGTTAATCCTGCCATTTAATTATCTTTATATTAATCAATTAAGAACAAATGATGGGGATAACAATAATAGGTAATTATCTATATATGACATCTTTCATCTGTGAAATGTCAATTGCGATACTTCATTTTTACTCGACTGATATTTGTTTGCAGAGAACAGTAGATGTAGTCCAACACATCCAAAAGCTCTTTTGTGATATTTTAATCCTTACTGGTAATCATCATGGTATGAGAACACCAAGATCACGAAACATTATGGCGGAGCTTCCGGTATACGGTTTTATATAATACCTATATGAGAGAGTTCATGGGGGAAACAAAGATATCTACAAGTCTCTCTCCGTTAGGAAGAACTGGACCGATGGAGACTTTATGGACTATTTATCAGTCTTAATCATGTGTTCATTATAATCATGATTGTTTTGATTTTATATCAAAATTACCTGGACTGTAAACTGTAGACATCATTAACTCCTGTTGATTTTGCGATGATAACCCTAGAATTTGCTTTCTCATTCAATACTGGGGCAAAAAGCACTATAATACTGACGATATTTTGAAAATTGCCATATATGGTACCTCTGAAATAATATATATTGTATATACACGGGCATACATATATAGTGTTATATATCATTTTAAAGCATATGACATACTCGTTCAGAATGAATAGTTTTTTAAGTCCCATTTTATAAGTTGTCATGGTTACAAGATTCCCCCAAAAATACATTGGGTTTGTGCTTGGACTTGATATCACGTCCTTAGTAGTCAACGTATGTGTTAAAATAGTTTCTTTACTTATTTTGAACTAATTTGAGTTATATCCTAAATTATTTGTGCACTAGTCATATAAATCCGACCGTTATATGCTGTTCTTCGATATATTCCTAGTTCTTATTTGGATATTTATTTTTTATCATTTTCTTTGCATATACGGTCGTAGATATTATATGGAACAAATTGCGGTAAACGCTTTCCTGGCCTGTCTGGGTAACCATAGTTACCATACCAACCAAAGTCACACAAATTATCGAGTAATTATTTAGCTCCAACATCAAAGGGTTAAATCTTACCTAAGACATGTAAAACGCTTGATAATTGACGAAATATATTCAATTGAATTATATTTTCATTATCGCCCGCCATGTTGCAAATGTTGTTTCCGGTAGTCTAAATGTAAAACATGTATCGAAACGGAATCATAATTATTTATTACGCAGAGATCGATTCCAAAGCCATTCTCTCATACTTATCACTTTTCTCATTTTGAAACAATTACTTTTCTAAATAACTTCCCTTCCTTAACGACATTGCTTCCCTTTCAACTGAATCTTCGTGTAACAAATA